AAAATTGCAGGAAAAACTCTCCTAGAACTCATTATTTCTGAGTTAAAACGTGAGTTAGGGAACCGAAGGCTAACCACCGGAGGTACGAAACCCGAACTAAACCGCCAAAATCCGATTTTACCGGGCGGAACGAATTCTACCCAGGTGAAACGGAGGTGAACCAGCCGGTAGTCCGATTGAACCGCCAAAATTCCGATTTTACCGGGCGGAACGAATTCTACCCAGGTGAAACGGGGGTGAACCAGACGGTAGTCCGATTGAACAGCCAAAATTCCGATTTTACCGGGCGGAACGAATTCTACCCAGGTGAAACGGGGGTGAACCAGACGGTAGTCCGATTGAACAGCCAAAATTCCGATTTTACCGGGCGGAACGAATTCTACCCAGGTGAAACGGGGGTGAACCAGACGGTAGTCCGATTGAACCGCCAAAACCGGTTACTTCTACGGGATAAAAATCACAGAGTGCATATCCCGTTTTAACATCGGGGACTGGGTGTACTATCGTGCACGTCCAACGCTGCGAAAGGGTTTCACGCCGGATTTGCCGCAAAATGGATAGGGCCGGTACATCTAGGGACTTCGTTAGGAGCGGGAGTATTAGAGAGGAACCCGTACGAAAAACCCTGGAAAAATACACACCTCTCAATTGAAGCCCGCTCGGCGGGGAAATTCAAATTAAGGCCTCATGTGATATCTGTACCGTTTCAGATGGCACGCATTAGAGTAAGTACCGCTATAGGTACTTATAATATATAGTATATAGTATATAGTACCTATATACTTATAGTATATTTAAAGTACCGCTAATTGTTAAATACAATTTTTTTTTAACGGGATAACGGACCCAAGGAAAAAAAACAAAATTGCAGGAAAAACTCTCCTAGAACTCATTATTTCTGAGTTAAAACGTGAGTTAGGGAACCGAAGGCTAACCACCGGAGGTACGAAACCCGAACTAAACCGCCAAAATCCTGATTTTACCGGGCGGAACGAATTCTACCCAGGTGAAACGGGGGTGAACCAGACGGTAGTCCGATTGAACAGCCAAAATTCCGATTTTACCGGGCGGAACGAATTCTACCCAGGTGAAACGGGGGTGAACCAGACGGTAGTCCGATTGAACAGCCAAAATTCCGATTTTACCGGGCGGAACGAATTCTACCCAGGTGAAACGGGGGTGAACCAGACGGTAGTCCGATTGAACCGCCAAAACCGGTTACTTCTACGGGATAAAAATCACAGAGTGCATATCCCGTTTTAACATCGGGGACTGGGTGTACTATCGTGCACGTCCAACGCTGCGAAAGGGTTTCACGCCGGATTTGCCGCAAAATGGATAGGGCCGGTACATCTAGGGACTTCGTTAGGAGCGGGAGTATTAGAGAGGAACCCGTACGAAAAACCCTGGAAAAATACACACCTCTCAATTGAAGCCCGCTCGGCGGGGAAATTCAAATTAAGGCCTCATGTGATATCTGTACCGTTTCAGATGGCACGCATTAGAGTAAGTACCGCTATAGGTACTTATAATATATAGTATATAGTATATAGTACCTATATACTTATAGTATATTTAAAGTACCGCTAATTGTTAAATACAATTTTTTTTTAACGGGATAACGGACCCAAGGAAAAAAAAACAAAATTGCAGGAAAAACTCTCCTAGAACTCATTATTTCTGAGTTAAAACGTGAGTTAGGGAACCGAAGGCTAACCACCGGAGGTACGAAACCCGAACTAAACCGCCAAAATCCTGATTTTACCGGGCGGAACGAATTCTACCCAGGTGAAACGGGGGTGAACCAGACGGTAGTCCGATTGAACAGCCAAAATTCCGATTTTACCGGGCGGAACGAATTCTACCCAGGTGAAACGGGGGTGAACCAGACGGTAGTCCGATTGAACAGCCAAAATTCCGATTTTACCGGGCGGAACGAATTCTACCCAGGTGAAACGGGGGTGAACCAGACGGTAGTCCGATTGAACCGCCAAAACCGGTTACTTCTACGGGATAAAAATCACAGAGTGCATATCCCGTTTTAACATCGGGGACTGGGTGTACTATCGTGCACGTCCAACGCTGCGAAGGGGTTTCACGCCGGATTTGCCGCAAAATGGATAGGGCCGGTACATCTAGGGACTTCGTTAGGAGCGGGAGTATTAGAGAGGAACCCGTACGAAAAACCCTGGAAAAATACACACCTCTCAATTGAAGCCCGCTCGGCGGGGAAATTCAAATTAAGGACTCATGTGATATCTGTACCGTTTCAGATGGCACGCATTAGGGTGAGTACCGCTAGGCCGGAAACTCGGGAAGAGCGGGGACGGCGACCAAATACCCAGTGGCGGAGGGAGTACCGCCCTCCGAGGACCACCTTGCGGCGGGCGTCGCAGCTGATGGAGGAAGCCCTTGGATTAATTCAGGGTCCCCAAGGTTCCCGCAGAGGGGGCTACGACTTGTACAGGCAGGGCTGGGAAGACCGCCACAGCGGCCTGCCTTTGGCTTCGCGGTACGAGTGGGAGCGGGCAAATCGGGCAGGTGCTCCACTCACCTTACTGCCCGCTGGAAGCCTGGCCCAACCTGCCACCACGGTTCCCATCCGTCATCCGGAAATGGACCCTGCTCCAACGCGCCGCCAACACCCAGCTCCAGTTTCGGGACGCCACCGGGAGAAGTCCCAAAGACGACCCGGAGTATATGAGCGAGGACGGGACGGCCGTTGGACAGCGGGAACTACAACGAACAACAACCGCCAGACTCGACGCGCCGCCCATAATGTGAGGGCCTCGGCAGGGAAATTCACGTCGAGTAGAACGTCGCCCCCCCTCACCGATGCCCTCAGCCAAGGAAGGACGGAGACCAGGCAGGAAAACAGCGACCCCCAACCCGGACCTTCACAGGCCAGCACTTTGAGTACCGCAGTGGAAGCACCGGAGGAACCGGAAGGTGTCCATACCCCCGCTGCTTCCCAAAACCATTCTCCCAGAACCACTTACGAAGCGCTGACCTACGTGCCCGTAGGGTCGTCTGCTGCGTTGGTCTGTCAAGACCCCACGGACATTTCAGCCATGGATGCCATTCATGAGCTGGAGAAGCTACTGGGACCGGAGAGGCCGGTGAACTGGGAAGCAGTACGTGCTTCACGCCACCAGTTGCAGAACGTCCAGCGGGCAACCGCGGTTGGTCAACCCAGCGTCCCGCCGACACCGGATCACACCGACGCGACACTCGACCCCCCTGATATCGTTGACCTGACGTAAAGAGGCGGTGCGGGCTGGGAGGGGAGGAGTATGTCGCGGTCGGCTCAAAAATACTTGTAAAAATATATCAAACGTAACAATTTAATGGGTGTAAATTCAATGGGGTGAAATCTGCTCTCTAAATTGGTATTAACACTTAACTTATTATAGCATCGCTATTTAGAACTAAATAATGTGTTAGTTGTCATGTTGTTCATAATTTGGTTTATTTTTTTTAGGTTAACATTCCGCGTGCTCCAGTTGGATAAGATGTGACGGGCGGTAGTGGTCGACAACTTATAAAATAGATGTATGGCGACAAGTTCTTAGACAATTTTTCATCTATTGGATTCATACCGGAAAATTGCAAGTTCCTTCTGTTGGAGTAAACCCGGGATTTTTCCTGATAACAATTTAATTTTAAGATTACTACATTTGTGTAGTACCATAGGCGGTGATTAAGCCCCCCCCTACCAATTATTTGATCACTCATACAACTAATTTGTTTAATGTATTAACTTATTATTATTATCCATATAAATTTTGTAATGTTAATTAATTCTATTAATCCTATTTCTCAAATTTACATAATTGGTTATTTATATTAACCTACCTTTCGCCCTCAATACACCATTGTTGCTGTACGTAATTGGAATACAATATTAATTATTAGTGAATAGTTTAGTCATAAAAAAAAATACAATTACATAATGCCGTTTGTAAATATAATACAATTATCATTTTTCCACCCTTTGAATCTAATTGGTAAGATTATTTTACACAATATGTTCCCTCTCTTCCTGTACTCTCTTACACCACGGACGTCGATGTCCAAGTTTTATGATTTTGTTTTTTTTTTTTTAATACAATACAATATAATGTAATAAATAATAATAGTACAATAAGGCGGGTTGATAAGGAAATCGATAGCGTCCCAAGACATTCTTTTGTGCGTTTTAAGCAAAAGTAAAGTAACAGTTGATAAAAAAAAAAAAAAACTAAGATTTAATCTCAACGGAATTCTGAATTATATTGACTAATAGTTTACACATTTGAATACTGTAGATAATAAATAAATATATATATATATATATATATATATATATATATATATTAAGAATATAGCTGGAATAACAATTACATTTATTATTTCTATTATGACCATTTATCATTTATATATGACTTATCAAACTTTATGAATTGTACTTCATAAACTATACAATTAGTTTGAAATGTATACTGTGTTACGATAGGCAGCCTGGTAGACAAGAAAAAATATGGTCTTTCAATAAGCGGAAAGTATTCATCCTAACACTACATACACACACACAGTGAAAATGTCTCGGTCTTGTACTGTATGCAAGTACACGTTTGCTACGCGAAGGAATTTGCTACGACATGAAATACGATTCAATCACTATTTTGGTATAAACGAATATGGAAATATCATTAAATATTTTACACAATCAAATATTACATTGGGATCTGGGTAATTTCAGCGTACGTAGACTTGACCGTGGATGATGACGCTGATGAATCCACCAATAGTATTAACAGTGAACCGAGTAAGTAAAAAAAAAATCAACAATAATAAGAAAAGTGATATATCACGGCACTGTCGTGTCATTACAGCGACCGCGTCTCAACACACTGGACCTGGTCAAATCTATGTTTACGATGAAGGTAATTAAAAAAGAAATACAATACTACAGAATGATTAAAATTATGTTATTTAATTACAGTATATATAGACTTGACTACAGAAGAAAATAGCGAAGCAGACAATTGTAGTAGTAACATCGGGGAAACGGGTAAACAAAAAAAAATAACGATTAAATTTATCTAATATAACATTCATTCACAACTCGGCTAACACGTTCGCAATATATATTTATCAGAAAAAGTACCGGCGACATTGGATTCAATCAATTACAGCAGTGACGAAAATATCGGTAAAAATAATAATAATAATACAAATATTCAAAGCAATAACAGTGTTGATCAATTTAGAATATATCGACGTCTGGCCGCCGTCTCCGTCTCATCACACAGGAACCGCCGCCCACACAGTGATAAGAACTGGTGGAGCAATGCCAATGGACGGTAAAAAAAAAACAATAACACTAATTAAAATAACGCGAGCGGATAAGTACTAATAGTAAATATAATCTTATAGGTCAAATGGACACTAACGATAATATACAATTACAAATTCCGAACCGTAAGAATACAACCAACACAATTAATAATATGATTATACGTATCAAGGGATATTTAATTATATATATATATATATATATATATATATATATATATATATATATATATATTATATGTACATATATTATTCAACGGTTAGTAGTACATTCTGATTTTATTGGAATATGTACTTGGCTTCCCGGCACTTAGTATATTTTAGTATGCGTACACGGTGTCTGATTTTAGAAGCACTAGTATAAATCAAAAGAAATTAATAAGTCGAGATATGACTTTACATTTATTTAAATAACAATTTGCACCGAAATTACAATTTAATATAACATTCATTCACAACTCGGCTAACACGTTCGCAATATATATTTATCAGAAAGAGTATCGGCGACATTGGATTCAATCACTTACAGCAGTGACGACAATATCGGTAAAAATAATAATAATAATACAAATATTCAAAGCAATAACAGTGTTGATCAATTTAGAATATATCGACGTCTGGCCGCCGTCTCCGTCTCATCACACAGGAACCGCCGCCCACACAGTGATAAGAACTGGTGGAGCAATGCCAATGGACGGTAAAAAAAAAACAATAACACTAATTAAAATAACGCGAGCGGATAAGTACTAATAGTAAATATAATCTTATAGGTCAAATGGACACTAACGATAATATACAATTACAAATTCCGAACCGTAAGAATACAACCAACACAATTAATAATATGATTATACGTATCAAGGGATATTTAATTATATATATATATATATATATATATATATATATATATATATATATAATGTACATATATTATTCAACGGTTAGTAGTACATTCTGATTTTATTGGAATATGTACTTGGCTTCCCGGCACTTAGTATATTTTAGTATGCGTACACGGTGTCTGATTTTAGAAGCACTAGTATAAATCAAAAGAAATTAATAAGTCGAGATATGACTTTACATTTATTTAAATAACAATTTGCACCGAAATTACAATTTTTAAATGAATCATGTTTAAAGCACTATTATATTCAATTGTTAAATGATAAATTAATTAAAAATAAGTAGTATAATGATAATTTAGTTACGAATTAATTTCAAATGAAATTATCAAATTGGAAAGTAAAATACAATTTTACCTGTTATTCAAGTTAATGTTGGAATTTAAAATAAATTAACAAACCGTGATATACATATTTAATTGATGGATCTAAGTTGGAAGGAAATTAAAATTTACAACAATGGTTTTTGAATTACTGGTATAAATAAATCTTCAATCAATTTTGAACGAATCATTCTTATAAAAAAGGTTATGAAATGATTTACAATTTAGTAAATAATATAAAATAAATATTAAATGTTAAATAAGGTATGAAATAATTTAAAATTAAATTATCAAATTGTAAAGGAAAATATAAGTTTTAAACTGTTATTTAAGGTAATAATTAATTTATGTTTTAATCACTATTATAATCAATTATTAAATGATAAAACATTTATTAAATAATTAAAAAGGTTCGAACAAAAAGTCAAGAACACTTGAGAGTACACCACCGCAAGTTAATGAAATTCCAAATGACCAAATCACGTCAACGATATTTTCAAGGTAAATGACTACAAGATTTTAAACAATTAAAATAATATTGAAACCTTTTTTTATACTATTACATAAGAAATTAAAACCTTATGAGAGTTGCATTGCTGTACTATCTGTTTTAGAATTGGTATTAATTTTTTTAACCGATTATTTAATGAGGATTTTTTACAAATAGTCTAAAGGATCATACTTCTAGATAATTTGTCAGGTTTAAATTTTGTATCAAATTATCGATTTGTTGTATGAACGTAACTTTTCTCTCCTAATTAACATCATTGTAATAGTAAACGGGAGTTATCAAATATATTGAAATTAGTTTAAAAGATTACTAACGAAGAAGCTCACAAGTAAAACTAAAAGGAGTTGTTTTGCTATATCGTAATTTCTAAAAGTGGTATTTTTTTTTTTACAGATTATTTAGTGAGGTTTTTCACTAAATAAATAGTTCAAAAATAAAATTGTATTTCAAGTTAATTTTACATGTTTTATTTCATCCATTTTTACTTTGATAATATATATGTTGTATGTTTGATGTAATAAGAGTTAATGTCAAATTTATTAATATTTTTTATTTAAAACTAACGATAAATTTACATATTTACTAATATGTACTCGTATAAAATGTGTATATAGTACAAGTGCTGGTCTTTGTTCATTTAATATTTTAGGCTTCTTAGCTTAATCTAATTTAGATATGTACCCCTTCGACTTTAAACAATTTTACTATATTAATCACTAAATTATACTAGTTACTCACATTGTCGAATCGATTATAATACGAGACTTGAGAATTGGATATTTTTTCAAATTATATAATATCTAGTATTTTAATTTTATATAATTTCTTCATTTTGGTATATGTTTAGTGTTCACATAACTCGCGACGGGCAGATTCTCAAAAATGAAGTAGATATTTTGGGTGATTGCACAGTTCAATCTACTATTGAATTTGAAAACACTTTACCAGAAGAATCTTGGAATAGTTGTTTGATGACCGAAAATTGCCATCATAAGGAAAGTCTGGAAAATACAAATAGGTATGAGATTTTCGAAGTAAATTATTTAAAAACTTTTTCTCTCCTTTTTATTTAGTAGTGTTGGCTATATTTACGGGCTGCACGGAATGTAACTTTGTCATAAATATCCTAAATAAGCTCCAAATATTTACCCAATTCCTCTAGATAAATAAATAAATCTATAATCTAAGTTTGATTTAAATAACTGGTCAACTAATATCAAATAATAATACGTGTTAAATTTAAAAAATTATTTCGTTTATATAAAAATAGCAATGCATTATATTCTACTATCAGTTTTAATAACTTATGTACTCATTATTCTGTAGTATTATTGAACCTGGGACGGTACCGGAAATTAAAATAGAAAAAGATGAAGAAGAAGATTCGTTCAACACACCGACATATAGTTGTTCAACAGTCCAGAATACACCTATAAGAATAGATGCAAATACAAACAAGTAATGGAATTCATCAACAAAAGTTGTTTAAATTTTATATTTATTGTTATGTGTATCATCTTAAGCACATTGTAATTTACCATATTAGCTAGTGCATTATATTATTTATGATAATACCATTTGAATTGGTCCAGTGTTAAAAAAGTTGAAGTTTATACAGACACAAAAAAAATTATCCCCTAGAAGTGATGTGATATTGTTCTTTATTTCGTTCTTTTAGTAAAGTTTAGTGATTAAGTTCTGAAAATTCGTCCTAAGGTAGATGTAGAGTGATGCTATAACATACAGAATTTTCTCCAGAAATCTAAAGTTAAGGAAAATCCAAAAAAAATAGCGAAAATTACACTTTGACCGTAGTAAATTTGTAGGTTGCAATGTTATTAAACAGTCGACGGGTATTTGAAAATATCTTATGTATTGTATTGTTATTCACGATTTATGAGTAACTAGCAATAATGCGTCTTTTATCATGTACGCAAAAATATTTAAGTAAAGCCAAACGCATATTTAGTTACTCAGTTATTTAGGTATAAATTAGTACATTTCCGAAATAATACTATGTGCCGTACACCGAAGTTACTACTAGTACCCAAAAAGTTTTCAAGTCCATATAGTAATCTTGAAAAAACTTGAGCAATATATGGTTATTTATAATAAAACAATATTAAAACAACCCTTAATCGTAGAATAATACACTCTGTCGTTAGTCTATCGTTAAGGGTGTTTTAATTATAATTTTGTCCTAACCGCACAAAACTTACCATTAAAAAAAAAAATTATAAGATCATTTTTATTTATTCTAATGAGAGGTCATTATTTTACTACGATAAATATAATGTCTATTTTTTTTTAATGCAGGAGCATTTCTTTATTATTTTATTTTTATTAAATTTCTTAAAAACAATTGTTCATAATTATTACAAAAAAACATATATGCTGGTGCATTGTTAAATTCGATGTATTGAAATTAATATATCACTATACTATGTCATAATCAAGAAAAAATTCAATTTTTTCTTTTGGTTGAATTAAAGAGTAATTGTTTTTTTTTCGAAATTAAAGTTTGTATTTTAAATATTTTAAGAGAAAAAGTAATTTGTATGAGGATATTGCAGCAATCACCATAAGATACTTTTACTTTTTGTTTAAATATTTATTTTATGAAAATTAGGAAATAATAATTTTATTATTAAAGTAAAGTAAGGCAAGTGTTAAGACCAAAAATATATTTTGACCTATTGTATATTAAACTAATTTAGGGAGTGTCCCAATTGAAATTTTACTAAGCCAAAAAAGAAGCCAAATGGTCAATGATAAGACCTGGCTATATACATATATGTATAAGCAAATAAGAATCTATATTAAAAAATTATCAGGCATGGTAACAAAATGGAATATTGTTTGTTATCTGATTTTATTATCAGTCTGTCAAATTGTGAGTTAGTCCGTTGTCCCACCTCTACAATGACCCCTCTGGTTTTGCGTTTCCTTTAGTAAATATGAGATCCCTGATTGTATAAACTGACACATTATTTTAAATGACCCTAAGTGCCACTACTTTTTAATGTAACACGGTTATAACACCCACGTCTTGTAGGATTGTCTTGTCTGATTACAATGTATTGTCTTTCGTTGGAAAGAAAATGTTTCTCAAAGGGAATATTGGTCTTAAATTTCAAAATTAATGTTTTTTAAACGAAATAGCAATAGTTTAAATATGAACAATTTTTACCATTTTTTTTTTTGTTATTACAATTGAAATTAAAAAAATGTCTTACAGATAGCTACTTAAATTTTTGCAAGCAGGAAATTTAAATACAATTTTTTTTATTTTATGTAAAATCAAACTATCATTTATTTCATTTGTTTATACTGTTTTTAGTGTTACCAAAACTTACAATGAACAAGACGTAAAAGTGGAAGTAGACTTTTTGGGAAACTGGAAATTCGTCTCTACTATAGAAGTTGAAAACCAGTTGCCTTTAAGCTTGCATAGTACAAGTTTTAATAAGGACGAAGTACAGAGCTTTGTTTGCAATCTGTGTCATGATTCATTTACGTCAAAAAAGCGAATTATTCATCACTTACAAAAATTCCACAAAACGAACTGTAAAACTACAAAAAAAATTTCAAGGAATAAGTTTAGGTGAGAATCATGTATTTCGTTTAATTCATCAACTGCAAAATTTCGCACGACCAATATATTTAAACCTTACGTCTATCCCCTTTTTGTTATAAAACATATTATTAAAACTATTTTAAAATATTATATTTCAAACCAAAGCTCAAATGTACATACTAGAATAATTTTAATTTATTGTAAATTATTAAGATTTGTTAAACCTCTTGAGATACCTGAAATATAAACCGAACTTGATGAAATAATTATATTTTTCCTGGTTGTCCTACTTCTCATGACAATTTCCATGTTAATTAATTGTCCTAGAAATTATATCTGCATCATATTCAATTAAATTAGCATTTTAAAATAATATTACTATTAATGATAACAAATTTTTTTAATACACAGAATGTAATATAGTTTTTAAAAAAAATATAAATTTATTTTTAACTTTGGGTTTACTTAATGTCTATCACTATTTAATCGTATTATTAACTTTTTTGGATTTTGAATTAATATATGTGAAAATTATTATAAATGATTTTAGTGCTGGAACGAAGTACAAGAATATCATTTTCAAAAAGAAAAAAAATAGCTGTACCTTCAATATTAAAAGGGATAATTTACATATGATAGTGTCAAAATTGAAAGAAGTAAAGAACAAAACACCACGGTTTAAGTGCAACTTATGCCAAAAAAACATTTAATACTTAAGTGCAAATTACTCGATTAATTAATTAATTGTCCTAGAAATTATATCTGCATCATATTCCATTAAATTAGCATTTTAAAATAATATTACTATTAATGATAACAAATTTTTTTAATACACAAAATGTAATATAGTTCTTAAAAAAAAAATATAAATTTATTTTTAACTTTGGTTTTACTTAATGTCTATCACTATTTAATTGTATTATTAACTTTTTTGGATTTTGAATTAATATATGTGTAAATTATTATAAATAATTTTAGTGCTGGAACGAAATACAAAATATAATTTTCAAAAAGAAAAAAAATAGCTGTACCTTCAATATTAAAAGGGATAATTTACATATGATAGTGTCAAAATTGAAAGAAGTAAAGAACAAAACACCACTGTTTAAGTGCAACTTATGTAAAAAAACATTTAATACTTAAGTGCAAATTACTCGATATACCGGGTGATTGGTTAACTATGGACCACTCAATATCTTAGAAGATATTAGACTTTTTTAATTATTTTTTTTTTGTACTATTATAGTTATTAGGTGGGACAAATTTAATGTATTTTTCAAAATTTTAACACCATCCCTTATGCGTTAAAACCATATCAACTTTAGATTTTTAAATGGTAACCCCCAATTTTTTTTTGATGATCGTGTTTATTTTTTTTAAATTTAATTTTAGGCGTAAAAACTAGCTAAATCAGACAAGTACTTTTAAAGTTATAGCTTAGTACTACAATATTATAATATTAGCTTATATGAGATGCTTTTATAAGTTTTACAGCTAAAGAAAAAAATCGTTTATCGCCGGATCTCACGTTTCACAAAATAAGATTGATTAACGATACGGTTGTAGATTAAAGTTAATAGTTGACGGTCGTCGGTCACAATGAAAACGAACTAATAATAAATCTATAACAATATTATATGGGTAATGTCTTCTTATCTGTTTTATCTGTAGTGTTCCTAGCGGTGCGGTGTACCTGTACGTATTGAATATTAGGCATTAGCTGCTGTTAACAAACAATATTATGAGCCCTAGTAAATAGTTTTTTTTTCAATTTCAACCATAGGTTACCGTGGTCTAATCACGGTCTTATATAGAGTATATACCGTGGTTCTACCAAAACGATTCGTTACTAGTGTAGATTAATACCAACACAGAACAAATTATTATAAAAATACGACTACTTGAAAACTAATAAAAAAGTTCATTATTCTAATTTATCAATTATTATGGTTATTTAGCGTCTTGGTTTTTACTTTAAATATTTAGCGTCTTGGTCTTAATAAGTGTTACTTGTACTGGTGTCTTAACTAGTCAAATTATTAATTCTGTTAGTGAAAATATTTTTAAAAAAACTTTAATAAATAACATTCAATTTTTTGTTTTTTTAGTATAATGTTGTATTACATACAGTTAATAGATAATATGTACAGAATATATACAGAAATAAACAAAAACTAAACTTAATATGTACAGAAACTATTTTAGCATTTGTCTGAACTGGTTATGATAGGTACTTAAGATGTCAAACAACATCTTTATAAGGCATCTAGTGTGTTTCTTAAAATGTTTAGATATCAAAGGATTCCATAAGAAATACGTTCATCCAATACTTGTGAACTAAAATAAATTTTAATTTTTATAATTTAAAGTTGTAACGCGTCAATTTTAACTATTTCTAGTTCTGTATTTTTAATTATTAAAAGCTGTATTTATTTATTAACTCTTTATTATATTGCACTACTATACTATACTAGTATATTACACTGTATATATTTCATAGTATTGACTATTCTTACTTATTTTAATGTGTTCATAATATGAACAGTAATAGTATGTTTTTTATTTAATAAATGATTGTTTTTTTCGTTGTACGAGGTATAAACAAAAATTTAGAGTGACAATGATAAAGTATAATTTTTGTTGTTTTTGTACGGCTTTTTTAACAGTCATAAGCTTAAATTTCAATACCAATATTACTAACAAACATTTAAATACTATATTATGTTATGTTTATTATGATAATAGTAAAATAAAAAAAAACAAGTAACAAGATAAATACTACGCTTATAACATACGAATAAACATTATTATTATTATTTTTACCGATATTTTCGTCACTGCTGTTTTTGATCGAATCCTCCAGTGTCGCCGGTACTTTTTCTGATAAATATATATTGCGAACGTGTTAGCCGAGTTGTGAATGAATGTTATATTAGATAAATTTAATGGTTATTTTTTTTGTTTACCCGTTTCCCCGATGTTACTACTACAATTGTCTGCTTCGCTATTTTCTTCTGTAGTCAAGTCTATCAATACTGTAATTAAATAACATAATTTTAATCATCCTATAGTATTGTATTTCTTTTTTAATTACCTTCATCGTCAACATGGATTTGACCAGGTCCAGTGTGTTGAGACGCGGTCGCTGTAATGAAAACTGATAAAAAAGTTCATTATTCTAATTTATCAATTATTATGGTTATTTAGCGTCTTGGTTTTTACTTTAAATATTTAGCGTCTTGGTCTTAATAAGTGTTACTTGTACTGGTGTCTTAACTAGTCAAATTATTAATTCTGTTAGTGAAAATATTTTTAAAAAAACTTTAATAAATAACATTCAATTTTTTGTTTTTTTAGTATAATGTTGTATTACATACAGTTAATAGATAATATGTACAGAATATATACAGAAATAAACAAAAACTAAACTTAATATGTACAGAAACTATTTTAGCATTTGTCTGAACTGGTTATGATAGGTACTTAAGATGTCAAACAACATCTTTATAAGGCATCTAGTGTGTTTCTTAAAATGTTTAGATATCAAAGGATTCCATAAGAAATACGTTCATCCAATACTTGTGAACTAAAATAAATTTTAATTTTTATAATTTAAAGTTGTAACGCGTCAATTTTAACTATTTCTAGTTCTGTATTTTTAATTATTAAAAGCTGTATTTATTTATTAACTCTTTATTATATTGCACTACTATACTATACTAGTATATTACACTGTATATATTTCATAGTATTGACTATTCTTACTTATTTTAATGTGTTCATAATATGAACAGTAATAGTATGTTTTTTATTTAATAAATGATTGTTTTTTTCGTTGTACGAGGTATAAACAAAAATTTAGAGTGACAATGATAAAGTATAATTTTTGTTGTTTTTGTACGGCTTTTTTAACAGTCATAAGCTTAAATTTCAATACCAATATTACTAACAAACATTTAAATACTATATTATGTTATGTTTATTATGATAATAGTAAAATAAAAAAAACAAGTAACAAGATAAATACTACGCTTATAACATACGAATAAACATTATTATTATTATTTTTACCGATATTTTCGTCACTGCTGTTTTTGATCGAATCCTCCAGTGTCGCCGGTACTTTTTCTGATAAATATATATTGCGAACGTGTTAGCCGAGTTGTGAATGAATGTTATATTAGATAAATTTAATGGTTATTTTTTTTGTTTACCAGTTTCCCCGATGTTACTACTACAATTGTCTGCTTCGCTATTTTCTTCTGTAGTCAAGTCTATCAATACTGTAATTAAATAACATAATTTTAATCATCCTATAGTATTGTATTTCTTTTTTAATTACCTTCATCGTCAACATGGATTTGACCAGGTCCAGTGTGTTGAGACGCGGTCGCTGTAATGACACGACAGTGCCGTGATATATCACTTTTCTTATTATTGTTGATTTTTTTTTTACTTACTCGGTTCATTGTTAATACTATTGGTGGATTCATCAGCTTCATCATCCACGGTCAAGTCTACGTACGCTGAAATTACCCAGATCCCAATGTAATATTTGATTGTGTAAAATATTTAATGATATTTCCATATTCGTTTATACCAAAATAGTGATTGAATCGTATTACATGTCGTAGCAAATTCCTTCGCGTAGCAAACGTTAACTTGCATACAGTACAAGACCGAGACATTTTCACTGTGTGTGTGTATGTAGTGTTAGGATGAATACTTTCCGCTTATTGAAAGACCATATTTTTTCTTGTCTACAATTCATAAAGTTTGATAAGTCATATATAAATGATAAATGGTCATAATAGAAATAATAAATGTAATTGTTATTCCAGCTATATTCTTAATATATATATATATATATATATATATTTATTTATTATCTACAGTATTCAAATGTGTAAACTATTAGTCAATATAATTCAGAATTCCGTTGAGATTAAATCTTAGTTTTTATTTTTTTTTTTATCAACTGTTACTTTACTTTTACTTAAAACGCACAAAAGAATGTCTTGGGACGCTATC